CAATAGTGATAGGAGTATATCGATATTCGAAAGGAGAGAAAGATCATGAGCTTGGGGAGCATTCTGGACAGTGACGATGCGCGTACCGCTCTTGAGAGCGTGAAATGAAATATCTCTGCCAACATGACGCAGGAGCGCTTTGGCAATTTCTATGGTCAGAAAGGTAGGCAGAAGAAAAAGTTGGTCTTAAAGTAAAGAATTTAGTCCATTGTGTGGTCCGAAACTGAGCGTGGAGAGGGATGCTTGACGTGTCGGTCGTTTCGAGTAGAATGGGAAGGTTTAAAGACGGAGCATCATCAGGAGATTGACGTTGGCGTTTAGGATAGGACCGGAGTTGGTCCGGCATGAAATGGGTGGGCGATTCGAAAATTGCCGTACCGTAGAGGGAGAAGCCGGAAGCATAGTCAAAGGAGGAAGGGGAGTTCAGAAAAAATCGAAGGAGTCAGTCGAAGCCCCGTACCCGAAGCGGGTGAGGAAACAGCACCAGCAAGAGGTACAGGGGCATCAGGAGTGTCCGAAGAGTGGTCTAAACACAAGGCAGGGTCAGAATGGGGTGCGGTATCAAGAAGGGGGCCCGGGGTAGTGGTTTCATGGACTAGGGCTGCCATGGGTTTGGTTACTCCTTTGCTTTTTGTTTTTAAGAAAAAAAAAAAAAAGAAGAAAAGAAAATAAAACAAAAAAAAAGAATAAAAAAAAGGGGGGAGCGGGGAGGAATAGTTCCCAGGAGGAATGAAAGGGCCGGAAATCTCCCTCCGCGCCCAAGAGGACTCGACACCGCTAGTAGCGCAGATGCAGCATGGAACCCGTGCCATACCCTACCCTTCATGCCAGTAAACCAGCAATTTCCGGGATAGCAACCTCACATCGCCGAGCTACCTCGGTGGACAAAAGGAGGGCGGCCGGATATCCGCCAAAAGCATACCTCCTTCAGCCACCCCCCCCGGGAAACCGAAAGGTGGCTTCCAGAGATTTCACCCGTCGCCCAAAAGACACCCAAAGCTACTCCGGGATACCGGAGAGGGATCGGGACATCCCTAGGCAATCAGATTCCACGGCAAACTATTGCCCCCGCCAAGAAACCTCAACGGAATGGATCGACCCCGGTGTCCTTTCCCCTACCTAGGAACTAGCGCGCCTGTGGGAGAAATCACGAAGGCTAAAAAGAGGAAGGGCAAAAGGGAGGGGTGAGGAGGAGGAGGAGGAATGGAAAAAGGGGAGGATGGGGAGGATGGGATAGGGGAGGGGAGAATGGGGGGTAATTAGGTTCGGTCTGAGGAAGAAGACCGACAGGGCTAATTCCTCAGACCAAGAGCCTCTTCACCACGCCAAGGAGCCCCCCTTGAAGAGGAATACTTGGATAAAAGTAAGGATTTAGATAAGGCAATGTGGGGAGCAATGTGGCAGATAATGAAAATGTATGGAATAAGTAGTAGGTTACAAGAAGCAGCCAAAGAATTTTTATGCCAATGCAAAGCTCAGGTAAGGGTATGCACCTTAGATAGATATATGTAATATTGTTAAAGTTCCCCCCCCCCCCCAACAAGTTGGCCGTCTCCCACCAGGGCAGGGTGACCCAAAAAGAAAGAAAATCCCCAAAAAGAAAATACTTTCATCATCATCATTAAACACTTTCACATCACTCACACATGATCAAACTCGCTACACGGCTTCCCCCCACCTGATTTTCTAATACGGTCACCGTGCCCTACCCAGTTTGTTTGCATTCTCTGTGAGCTCCGTAAGCACCATTTCTCTCCATTATGTCTGGAAACTCCAAAATTTCAAGTGTTTTTAAAAGTTTTTTTCATATATATAAAATTTAATATATATATATATATAATATATATATATATATATATAATATTTTATATATATTTATTTATTTTTTTTTATTTATTTATTTATTTATTTATTTATTTTTTTTTATTTATTATTTATTTATATTATTATTTTTTTTTTTTTTTTTCAACAAGTCGGCCGTCTCCCACCGAGGCAGGGGAACCCAAAAAAGAAAGAAAAATCCCCAAAAAGAAAATACTTTCATCATCATTTAACACTTTCACCCCACTCACACATTATCACTGCTTTTGCAGAGGTGCTCAGAATACAAACAGCTTAGAAGCATATCCGTATAAAGATAACAAACATTATCCCTCCAAAATGCCAATATCCCAAACCCATCCTTTAAAGTGCAGGCATTGTACTTCCCATTTCCAGGACTCGAGTCCCGACTATATGAACATAACCGGTTTCCCTGAATCCCTTCACTAAATATTTACCCTGCTCACACTCCAACAGATCGTCAGGGCCCAAGTATCATTCGCCTCCATTCACTCCTATCTAACACGCTCATGCACGCCTGCTGGAAATCCAAGCCCTAGCCCACAAACCTCCTTTACCCCCTCTTTCCAACCCTTTCGAGGATGACCCCTACCCCTCCTTCCTTCCCCTATAGATTTATATGCTTTCCATGTCATTCTACTTTGATCCATTCTCTCTAAATGACCAAACCACCTCAACAACCCCTCTTCTGCCCTTTGACTAATGCTTTTATTAACTCCACACCTTCTCCCAATTTCCACACTCCGAATTTTCTGCATAATATTTACACCACACATTGCCCTTAGACAGGACATCTCCACTGCCTCCAACCGTCTCCTTGCTGCTGCATTTACCACCCAAGCTTCACATCCATATAAGAGTGTTGGTACTACTATACTTTCATACATTCCCTTCTTTGCCTCCATGGATAACGTTTTTTGACTCCACATATACCTCAACGCACCACTCACCTTTTTTCCCTCATCAATTCTATGATTAACCTCATCCTTCATAAATCCATCTGCCGACACGTCAACTCCCAAGTATCTGAAAACATTCACTTCTTCCATACTACTCCTCTCCAATTTGATATCCAATTTTTCTTTATCTAAATAATTTGATACCCTCATCATTTTACTCTTTTCTATGTTCACTTTCAACTTTCTACTTTTATATATACTCTGATAATTATACTTATGTATACCTGTACCTAAATAAACTTACACACCGTGCTGGAGTGCAGGTACGCAGTAAAATCATTAAGAGTGTCTTATGTCTCAAGACACCATATTAATGATAATAATATACAATAATAATCTAATAATCAATGAGTCTCATTAAATGTCGTATATTACGTTAATATACACATTTTCATTAATCCATCTATGATATTTTTTCAAAATTATATAATAAACACAATACATAACATATAAAGATGATACCTACACCCCACAGTAGAATAAATAAACAAATATGAAAAGTTGTAGCCAGATGACTTGTATGAGTGACAGCAAGAAAAACGTTTTCTCTAGTCCAACATAAGAGAAAATGTGTTACTGGAGGTAACTGTAGAAAATTATTTCTTTTGTATGGCGGCTTCACTCGGAGCGTCATTTCTTCTAAAAATGGTGTTGCATGAGAATGGGAGCGTTCCTCTTAATTTATTCTACCGTATCAACGTAGATACAACTTGTACATAATATAACTTGTACACAAACCAGACGTGTTCGACTGGTTTGTTTACACAACTCTGCGAGTGTCCTCTCTCATACTCATTCTCTCTCATTTATTCGTTTTATCTCATTTACTCACCTCTGACCCTACAATGACTACAAATATTTTAAGGTAAGTAATGAGTGAACTGTACATATATGCATTTTATCGCTCTGGGATGCTTAAATGTCATAGAATATAATGTGTGAGTTTGGTGGCCTGGTATGGTAGCCTGGCTGGCTACCATACATACCGCACTTGATTTCTTACAATAAATACTACTCGTCTCACCCTAGATTAAGACTACAAATATTTTAAGGTACTTAAGTAATGAGTATACTATGTGTGTATTTTACTTTTTTATTGTTTTTTTAATACCTAGTTCTATTGCTAATTTAATATATGTTAGTGTAAACTTGTTATAAATGCATAGAAATACTAGATAAGTGGAAAAAAAAAAGGGTGTTCCACTTTACGTTGATTTCCATGGTAGTAGCCTGGAACCTAACCTGCCATATAAGTGGGGCCCTACTGTATGGTAGACCAGTATTCATAGAATTCAGAGCAGAGAAATTAGAAGATCGAGTGGGGTTACCACAGGTATACCTCAGAGAGCTGAGGAGGAGGAGGAGTTAGAGGTAGTTTTGGCCATTTAGAAGGGATGGATCAGAAGAGGATGATCAAGAAGGTGTAGAAGGAACAGTAGGGGGTCATCCCAGGATGCATTGGAGGGATAGGGAAAAGGTGGTTTTTAATTGCTTGGGGCTCAAGCATCCAGCTGGATGCTTGAGCCCCAAGCTTGATCAGGGTGAGTGGTAACAGTTTTTATGGCTTGATGTACTATTTGAAATGTGAGCAAGGGATTCAGGAAACTGATTAACCAGGACTGAGTCCAAAAAGTGGAAAGTACAGTGCCTAAACTCTGAATTGGGGTGAGGATGCTGCAGTTCAAAGGGCCATTTGAAATGTGATGCACAGTTAAAGACAGCTATTAATTTATGATGACTGTTTCCTTTTTGTAGGTCACCCTGCCTTGGTGGGAGACTGCTGGTGTTAAAAATTTAAAGCATTTTTTTATGCATTAATTACAAACAAGTTTAGCATCATGTTATTACCCACCATACAATACTTATACCAATGTTCTACATTTTTTTAATTTTGGTTATTACCTGTCAGTTGATTAAATGTTAAGAGGTGGGACCAGGAGCTAGAGCTCAGTCTTTACAAACTCAAAATAGGTAATGAAATAGGGTGCTGTTAATGCAAATCTAATATTATGAATTTATCTCTTACTGTCTACTATAGTATGACCCATTTAGGTTTAGAGCTTTCTTGTTAAAATAAGAAAAATTATTACTTTCATTTCTCTATAGTCATACACGGCACTGAAGTTCTTAATTTTTCAATGCAAATTTTTTCTTATTAAATAAATGAAAACAGTAAATATAAATCTAAAGTTGTCTTACTGTCCACTTGAGGATGTTGACCGTCTGAGATTTAGAAGGAGACTCTACAGTAGTAGTTCCATCACCCTCTGCTACTGTCTCATCCACTTCCATTTCTGTTGTCTCTGCTGCCTGAGGTTCAACTGCCATTAACTGGGGGGCAGCATCAGCCTCTTCCATTCCACTATCCTCACGTGCTCGTTTATTTGGAGATTCTTCAGGGTTTTTGAAGAGACCAATTCTTTTTGAACACCCAACATTGTATCTGTGTGAGTGGCCATTTTTAATTGTCTCTACATGTACATTAATAGAGCTTAATTATTTTTTTTAACAAAGTAAATTTCTTTAGAACTAAAGGAACATTACTGCCTGTGTTAAGAAACCATTTTTTGAAGAGAAAATGGTCTAGTCATAAGTGTGTTGAGACTATGACAAGTGTATGCAAGTTCATTATACAGAAAGATACAAAAGCAATATATTTTACTAACTATATATCTTATAAAAATTTGAAATTTATTTTTGTATCCTTTATTGAACTGCCTTCCCTTAAGGAAGGTTCCCTTATGCTGGTGAAAGACTCTTCACCCAAGGAATTCAAGTTGTCCTCTCCTTCCTTGGATTAAATTTCAATGCATTCATTCTCAAGGCACTATATGACCTTACTGGTTTAGCACTCCCTCTAAATAGAATAATAATAATCTGTCTACTTACTGTATTATAATATACTAACAAGTACTTAATAGCAATTCATTTGTCATAATTACTTTGCTATTATTTATATGAAGTGCTAAACCCACATGGCCATTTCAGTAAAAGGAGCTCTGGAGGTTTCATCCTCAAATCAACTAATCTTGAGACTGACACACGGACTATTTCGAAACTAACTGAAAACTAATTACTGCACAATCAATCACTGCATAATGCTATGCAAAAATTTTTGTGCTTTACCTTTTTGCACACGCTGTACTACAAAACCTTTTAGATCTTTTAAATTTGGAACGCAAGTCAATCTTGCCACAAAATTCACATTTAGCAGTGTCTCCCTTTGGTGAAGTTGAGGTCTGCTCACCAGCCTTCTTTCCTGTGAATAGATTAAATATTATATTTATATTTTTTAATACCAATACAAAATAAAATTGATAAGATTTTTTACAAGTAAAATACCATTAAATTATTAATCTGTGGTTTAAATATTATGGCAATATTCTCCATGTGGTCATCTAATATGGTGTCAGACAAACTTGGCCACAAACACATTAAAACCAAATTCTTCTTTAAATCTAGGAAACTTTGTTTAAAATCAAAACAAATTATAGTGGGATTAGCATTAACATTTCTGCTCCACAAGCAATGACTTCCAAACTCTGAATCCCTTTCCTTGGTATACCTCCCCTTCAAGAGGGACAAAATGCCTCCATGCTTACTCTTCCCTTCCTCAGATCAAAACTGATTACCTCCATTCCCCATGCATTGCACAACCTGGACAGGTTTAATGCTTTCCACTGAATAATAATCCTTGATATACCATTCCATTAAATGCAAATAACACTGCATCTATTTTATTACGAGGACCATGAAAACTCTAAAGTTCATTCAGAGTTCCCCCTCCCATTTCATTGCTCCTTCACAAGTTTTTATTGACAGATTACCCTTCCATGAGGATATCTTGATGCCGGTGAAGGGCTCTTAATCCAAAGAACTGGAGCTACTCTCTTCTAACAGATTAGCCATTATGCCTTTTCAACATTCTTACCTCTTGGTTCATGCAACTCAAGTGTTGACTACCTCAATAATTTGGTAACATTCTTTTACGAATTCTGAACAACAGCTGCTGATTTGAACATTAATGGTGTGGAGATGGTTGGTAACCAAAACATTAAAAGGCAGATTCTGTATACCTTAATCCCAGAATAAAAAAAAAATCACAACAAAGACAGATATGTAAAGGAAGAAAACCAGATGTAATGGCCTTCATCTACAGTGCTAGTCATTAAAGTACGCTGGGTGAAGACTCCTGATGTAATTTAGTGTCCAAAGTAATACTCAACTCAGGCACATTTGTCAATAAGACAAAAAGTTATACTGGCTTGTCCACCTGATCTGAGACATCTCAGGATTTCCTATGGCTACTGGCTGCATCTTAAGTGCCTTCTGGGCTTGTGTAGTGAAGAGCTTTGTGTCTAAGGTCCCCTGCACCATGTAGTCTTGAGGGTTGAATTTGTCAGACATTTTTGGCTACTTACTAATTAATATGGGCCTGAGTAAGTAGCTCACACTAGAGACAATTGCAGAAATCATTGGATTATACAGTACATAAGGCAGGCCATCAAACAGGAAATAGTAGAAGCCAGCAATGTGTGTGTGTCCTGTGAGGACCTGGTTGCACCAATTGTAATAACATACCTAGAGTTAGTCTGTTTTCATTTGCCCGAGTGAGGTGTGGTGCAAGGTTTATACAAAACAATGTTCCTTGCCACATCACAAAATTTGTTTATTGACTTCATGATTGAGGTGGTGCAAGGTTTATGCAAAACAATGGTCCTTGCCACATCACAAAATTTGTTTATTGGCTTCATGATTGAGGTACCTTTCCTTGATGACTGGCCAGGAAACTCAACACACTTGAACCCCACTACAAACCTCTGGGTTGAGAGAGAGAGAGATCTACTAGGGGATGGATATCAGCCAACTCCGAAGCCATCTGGGAGTCTTGGGGAAATTTACCCCCATGAAACCCTGAAGAATGTGTTATCATTTCCTAGATGGTTGAAAGATGTCCTACAGCACAAGGATCACCAATTTTGTGGTCATGATTTTAGAGGGGAAGGAGAGGGCAATGCACCTTAATAACAAGCACTGTATAACTAAGCAGTATCACAAATGGAAAGAAAGAATCAAAACAAAAACAAATATTTGACTACATTTAGGTCAATTCTATTCCATGAAGCTGTGAAAAAAAAGCCAATAAACATTCTTACTGGCAGCCTCATCATCAGGTAGGTTCTCTTTCTCAGCTTGTCCTCCTATGGGTGCCTGCGCAGAGCAAGAAGTGACGGCAGCAACTGGGATAGAAGTGTTGGTGGAGTTGGGAGGACGAGGCTTCGAGATCTCAGTTAGCAAAGATGATCGACTCACAGGGAATGGCTCAGAAGCTGTTAAAAGATTTGACTTTCTTTTAACAGCTATTTTTTTCATACAAGATAGTTGATAAATGAAAAATATGATAATGAGGGGAAGCAATTTCCTATTTTTTTTTTTTTAACACGGCCGTTTTTATTCCTATTAAGTTATATTATTTACACTGACACTAACTTACAGTTGAGAAGAGGAAATTTTTTGTTTCGATTCATCATGGACCATTATCAAGTCACAAATAAGAGAAAACTTAAGAAAGCCAAAAGACAGGTAAGCTGAAGTGATACAAAACAGTCGGGGAGATGGGGAGAATAAGATATAAGGGGAGGGACAGTCAAGGACAGGTCAAATCATGTGTGTTCTGAAGACAATGTACTGAGACAATGTACTGAGAAAGACAAGCATCAACATAAACATCAGGAATGAGAATTCATATTAGGAATGTTGTGTACAATGGGCAACTCAACACGTCAATGTCTGTGAAGACTAGAAGAAGGAAAGTTTCAGTAAAGAACCAGCTTATGAGATGGCTATGGTCTTTAACATGATAGAAAAGAGCACTATTAGTGACAGAAAAGTGAACATTTCTCTTATGTTTTTTAAATACAGCCTATCCTCACTTAAATGAATTCATCACTAAATGAGGAGCATACTATAATGGTAGTGGGTTTGTGTCAACCATTTTTGATATTGTTTTAGTGCCACCTTTGCACCATTTATAACATTCCTGGAGTATTTTTAAATGTTTATACAGTGGTGTACTGTATACTGAAACAAAGAATAGAGGAAATCAGCTCTAATATACATTATTTGGGTATAAATACAGTGGACCCTCGCATTTCGTAAGGCTCGAAAGTTGTAATTTTCGGAAATCGTAACTTTTTTTCATCAAAACATTGACTCGCAGATAGTTGTTCATCTGGGACGCATACACATGGCCCCAAGCCGCCTCACACTCCATTCCCAGCCAGTGTGCCACTGTTTATCAGTGAGTGAGGATGATCTCACGAGTTCATACAATACATTTCATAATATTCCATTCGTTTTAGTGCTTGCAACTGCTAAATAAGTCACCATGGCTCCAAAGAAAGCTTCTAGTGCCAGCCCTTTGGTAAAGAATGTGAGAAACACATATGATTTAAGAAAAAGTTTGTAGAAAAATACGAAAGTGGTAGTGGTAGAGTGGTAGCAGTTGTGATAGTGGTAGAGGGTGGTATCAGTTATGATAGTGGTAGTGGTTGTGATAGGGGTAGTGATGGTGGTAGAAGGTGGTAGTGATGGTGGTAGCAGTTGTGATAGTGGTAGAGGGTGGTAGTGGTAGTGGTTGTGATGGTGGTAGAGGGTGCCTTCTTCAGTGATTCAACGATTCTACTAACTCCTCCAATGTTGTTGGAGTTATATAGGGCTACAGAAAACACCTCTGCCTCAGCTGCTGCTTCACCATTATGGACGGCTTATGCTCTCAGTGGCCCTTATACAACCAACAACACTAGCAGAACACCTCTTGTGACATTCATAATGACTTATTTTATTCATTCTAGAGTACAGTGGACCCTCGACCAACGATATTAATCCATTCCTGAGAGCTCATCGTTAATCGAAATTATCGTTAGTCGAGTTAATTTTCCCCATAAGAAATAATGGAAATCAAATTAATCCGTTCCTGACACCCCAAAGTAATGAAAAAAAAAATTTTTACCACATGAAATATTAATTTTAATACACACAAACTGAAGAAGATATGCACAGTTACATGACACTTACCTTTATTGAAGATCTGGTGATGATTGATGGGATGGGAGGAGGGGAGAGTGTTGATGGTGTTAGTGTTTAGAAGGGGAATCCCCTTCCATTAGGACTTGAGGTGGCAAGTCCTTTTCCGGGGTTACTTCCCTTCTTTTAATGCCACTAGGACCAGCTTGAGAGTCACTGGACCTCTGTCGCACAACATATCTGTCCATAGAGGCCTGTACCTCCCGTTCCTTTATGACATTCCTAAAGTGTTTCACAACATTGTCAGTGTACAGTTTGCCAACACGGCTTGCAGTAGCTGTGTGAGGGTGATTTTCATCAAAAAAGGTTTGCACTTTAAGCCACATTGCACACATTTCCTTAATCTTTGAAGTAGGCAACTTCTTCAATTTCTCTATCCCCTCCTCCGAAGCAGTTTCCTCAGGTGTGGCCTCTTGCTGTTGAAGATGATCTAGCAGCTCATCAGTGGTTAGTTCTTCATTGTCCTCCTCCACCAACTCTTCCACATCCTCCCCACTAACCTCCAACCCCAAGGACTTCCCCAATGCCACAATGGAGTCCTCAACTGGCATAGGATTCCCAGGGTTAGCCTCAAACCCTTCAAAATCCCTTTTGTCTACACATTCTGGCCACAGTTTTTTCCAAGCAGAGTTCAAGGTCCTCTTAGTCACTTCCTCCCAAGTCTTACCTATAATGTTTACACAATTGAGGATGCTAAAGTGATCTCTCCAAAAGTCTCTTAGAGTCAGTTGAGTTTCTGAGGTCACTACAAAGCACCTTTCAAACATAGCTTTTGTGTACAGTTTCTTGAAGTTTGCAATGACCTGCTGGTCCATGGGCTGCAGGAGAGGAGTGGTATTAGGAGGCAAAAACTTCACCTTAATGAAGCTAATTTCCGCAGAAAGTCGCTCTGCCAAGTCTGAAGGATTACCAGGAGCATTGTCTACTCTGGGAGTTTCAGAGTGGTACACCAATAAAGGCTTCTCTTTGCAATCACCACTAGCATTGGCACACATCAACAGAGTAAGCCTGTTTTTCATAGGCTTATGTCCTGGGAGTGCCTTTTCCTCCTGAGTAATGTAGGTCCTGCTTGGCATTTTCTTCCAAAACAGGCCTGTTTCGTCACAATTAAACACTTGTTCAGGTTTCAGTCCTTCACTGTCTATGTACTCCTTGAATTCCTGCACATATTTTTCAGCCGCTTTGTGGTCCAAACTGGCAGCCTCACCATGCCTTATTACACTATGTATGCCACTACGATTCTTAAATCTCTCAAACCAACCTTTGCTGGCCTTAAATTCACTCACATCACTAGTTGCTGGCATTTTTTTAATTAAATCATCATGCAACTTCCTAGCCTTTTCACATATGATCATATGCATCTCCTGCTATCTGTTTTTCATTTATCTACACCTATAACAGTCTCTCAACATCTTCTATCACTTGCGATCTCAGTTTCGAAAACATAGTTGCACCTTTGGCAAGAACAGCTTCCTTGATTGCCATTTTCCTGCCCACAATAGTAGCAATGGTTGATTGGGGTTTTGTGTACAACCTGGCCAGCTCGGAGACACGCACTCCACTTTCATACTTAGCAATGATCTCTTTCTTCATATCCATAGTAATTCTCACCCTTTTTGCTGTAGGGTTGGCACTAGAAGCTTTCTTGGGGCCCATGGTGCCTTATTTTGCAGGTGCAATCACTACAAACGCTGTGATAATATGAAATGTTCCGATTGTATGTTTGGATGGGACCGCGGTGGCTGGCTGGCTTGTAAACACTGGCACCCACGGGACAAGTGGGGCGCGCTCAGGCCACAAGTGGACGCATCTCGAACGGAACGAATAGCGTTGGTTGGGTTTTTTAGCGCTATTCAAGGCAAAATTTTTGCGTTAAAATGTATCGCTAGTCGGATTTAACGTTAGACGATGCCAACATTGGTCGAGGGTCCACTATATATTCCATGTTTCTATGTTATTAATATTGTTTATTATGTCATATTAGTTGAATTGTGATAGATAAATAAGCCATAGAGTTGATATTAGTGTCATATTCTCCAACAATAAACTTGCCTCCCCTCCCTCTGCCCCGTCTGCCATACACCAAGTCTTCAATAAAGGTAAGTGTGATGTTAAATGTTCATTTATACATTTTATTAGTGCTTTACATTTATCTGGCATTCTTTCCTGCATTTTTATTTACTTTTTATTATCACACTGGCTAATTCCCACCAAGGCAGGGTGGCCCGAAAAAGAAAAACTTTCACCATCATTCACTCCATCACTGTCTTTCTTGCCAGAAGGGTGCTTTACACTACAGTTTTTAAACTGCAACATTAACACCCCTCCTTCAGAGTGCAGGCACTGTACTTCCCATCTCCAGGACTCAAGTCCGGCCTACTGGTTTCCCTGAACCCCTTCATAAATGTTACTTTGCTCACACTCCAACAGCATGTCAAGTATTAAAAACCATTTGTCTCCATTCACTCCTATCAAACACGCTCACACATGCCTACTGGAAGTCCAAGCCCCTCGCACACAAAGCGTCCTTTACCCCCTCCCTCCAACCTTTCCTAGGCCGACCCCTACCCCGCCTTCCTTCCACTACAGACTGATACACTCTTGAAGTCATTCTGTTTCGCTCCATTCTCTCTACATGTCCGAACCACCTCAACAACCCTTCCTCAGCCCTCTGGACAAGTTTTGGTAATCCCACACCTCCTCCTAACTTCCAAACTACGAATTCTCTGCATTATATTCACACCACACATTGCCCTCAGACATGACATCTCCACTGCCTCCAGCCTTCTCCTCGCTGCAACATTCATCACCCATGCTTCACACCCATATAAGAGCATTGGTAAAACTATACTCTCATACATTCCCCTCTTTGCCTCCAAGGACAAAGTTCTTTGTCTCCACAGACTCCTAAGTGCACCACTCACTCTTTTCCCCTCATCAATTCTATGATTCACCTCATCTTTCATAGACCCATCCGCTGACACATCCACTCCCAAATATCTGAATAAATTCACCTCCTCCATACTCTCTCCCTCCAATCTGATATCCTGCATGTAAATATATATTTAAGCTAGGGAAGTGGCTAGGGAAGTGACCCCAGAAGTGACCTAGAGTCCTTATGGAGAAGGATACCCCTTCCAAACAATAACCTCTCTTCCCTCTCTCCTCCCTGTCTTCCATTCATCAACAACAGCCTTCAGTAAAGGTAACTGTCATGTTGAATGTTCATTCTTTTGTGCATGTAAATCTATCTTCAAGGTAAAAAAAAATTTTTTTGTTGATACTTCTGAGTGTCTGGAACAAATTAATTGGATTTATGTTGTTTCTTATGGGGAAAATGGATTCGCAAATCGTCAATTTTGATAATAGTCACCCTCTCTGGAACGGATTAATTATGAAAAATGAAGGTCCACTGTACTGGTCAGAGCCCATCATAAGTTCGAGGCATCGGTAAACAAGTACATCATTAAGTGAGGAAAGGCTGTATTTAAAAGAAAGCAGCCAATTTCACTAATGTATGGGAGGACCAGGAAACAGAGCAGACACAAAAGTACTGGTGAAAGGAAAAGTGTGAACCATATTGCTATTGAGAGTAATAGTGTGACAATAAGAAGGTAGTTCAATAACCAGAGAATGATAGTAATGTATTATTAGAGAATGGCCACTTTCACTAATGTGGGGAAGGCAAAAGTCACTGGAAGTATTGGTGAAAAAAAAAAAAGTATGAACTGAATTCTTACCAAGTGTATTTGTCTGAAAGAAGGTAGCGAGGTAGATTATCATTCAGCTTTTAAATAGATGTAACATAATTGTTAAAAGCAACAAGAAAGAAGTAGAAACTAGTCATGTGAATGGTAAGTGATGATATTAACTACATAGTGAGGCCAGAATAAAAGAATGTACATTAATAGTGAAGTAGAACAGTTTCAAAAAATTCTGTGTTATATGTATATAAGAAACAGACTCCTTGACAATAATACTAAGACTGCTACATGAAAGGGTAAGGTGCTACATGACACTTGATTCTTCCCAATGCTTATAGAGAAAGCACCTGAAGATAATATAGCCCAATAGACAATAAAAAGATGAATGAACATTACAAGTACAGCATATGAAATATCTTAATTTTTTTATTTCACGATACTCTTTCCTATATTTAAGTCATTGCAACAGGTACAGAATCTTCCCTAAATACACATAAGGGCAACCAACCAACTTCATACCTTGTCTCACATATCTAAAAGTAATGCTCAAAAAAAAAATTAATTTTATATTATGCAATTTGTTTTAGCTATCATAGCAAACCAGGTCTAGCAATAATCAATTACATTCACTAAGGAGCAAGAATGTGAGAACCAAAATATAAACTAGATACAGTATTAGTTGATTGCTCAGGGCAACAGCAGAAGCATTTCTATCTGCCTTTCCCTTATTCACAACTATCTTTGGACTGACACCTAAATAAATGGGAAAATAAATAAAAGAAAGACCTCATTTACATTACTTGAACACTATTTTTTCACTATTGCATCACTACATAAACATTGCCTTCAGATGTGAAAGTTTGGATGCAAGAGTAGCGTTTCAATCTCACAATCAGAAGACAGGATTGAGCCTCCACAAATTCCTGCATTGAATAATCCATATGTTTACCACTTTATATTAAAATAATAATGCTGCCTTCACTACATGAGCACTGCCTTTGTTACGTGACTATTACCCCTCCTTACTTGAGCACAAAAAATATGACCTATAGCAAATGTAACCTTGAATATTAATTATATTTTCACTAGATAAATATAATGCTAGAGTAATTAAAAAATTCTGTATTTTTGAAGCCGCCTCTAAATCATCAGTACACATAAGTAAAAAACATTCAGCAAGGAGACTACCCAAAGGTAATAACTGCACAATACACTCCATGATTCTTGAGTGTGTTTTTCAAATCAGAAAAAAAAATGGCTTGAATGTTACCAAAGTATCCATAATGCAAGTAAAAATAACAGTTTAGTTCAAGAACAATCACCACTGCTCAAAGACAATCACCACTGCTGCACTGGCTTCAAGGAGGAGGATTAGTAAATCCTTGTTTGCTCTGAATCCAAGAACCCACTTTTCCTTTCTTGATGTAAAGTTCTTGATGGCATCCTCTTCCAATACGATCCAATGAAAACTTGCAGAAATGTGTTGCCACTATCCTTGATCAACATATCATAATGTGGTATCAATATCAGTGTTCTAGACTAGCTGACTCCAAGAGCGGTGCATGTGTCTGATGGTCAGCAGACAAAAGATTCAGCCTGAGTGGTCCACATGGGCTTAGTGATGCACATAAATACAGTAAAATAATAACTTGCACTTGTAGCCTTGCCACTCAATGATATGTAATGAAGGTTTCCATGCCTCTTAAATCTATAAAACTATTTATAAATAGTGCCAAAACTAATAATCTCCACCCTCACCTTTGTTTTGTATTAAACTCTCAAATGCACTTATGGCCTTCTAAATAATCATTGTCCATTAAATCTGGAATTACAGTGGTACCTCGAGTTACGAACTTAATTCGTTCCAGAAGGCTGTTTGAGTGCCGATACCAAATGAATTTGTTTCCGTAAGGAATAATATAAATTAGATTAATCCGTTTCAGACCCCCAAAAATACACTTACAAAAGAACTTACAAAAATACACTTACATAACTGTTTGAGTTGGGAGCTGTTCAAAATTCGAGGTACCACTGTATCTGATTCTGATTTAACAAATGAAGTCTGTTAAATCTGAAATTAATTTACCCAGTGGATTGTAAGAATAGCTAACAATTTAAGACTTTTTCTTTCCGTTGCTTCCAAATGGTGTCCAACCACAGATTTTGCTTGTTAAATCAGGGTCCAGTAAATCCATTTACTGGAATATAAATTTTGAAAAACATTAGTTAGGTAGGGAAGCACTCTGTGTAATGGACATGACTTGCTTGTGAACCTGGCCATCAGCTAGCAGACTGAAAAAAATCAATGGAATGTTCTACCTAAATTTCTTGTTTTATTTAATTTGCTATTTATTGCTATGTATTATTACAATTTTCCCATGCAATGAATATTTTTGGCTGCACGTTTTGAATCAAACTGGAACCAAATTCTGTAACAAGAAGTCTTGTTGTAAAAGGTTTGAACATACACTGTATAAACACTATATACAGTGGTACCTTGGCTTACGAGTGCCCCAACTTAAGAGTTTTCTGAGTTACGAGCTGTCACTCGGTCGATTTTTTACTTTGAGTTCCAAGCCAAAATCTGAGTTATGAGCGGGCTTCAGATATGCCACCACTAGGAGGCACAGCTAACACCACAACATCCGCCTAGCATCCCAGCGTTTTGTGCTTTTCGTGCAGTTATTTTGACAAATTTCTTTTTTCTAACCATGGGTGCTAAGAAAGTAAGTGCAAAGGACAGTGCTGAGAAGATGATGTCCACTGAATTAAAGCATGAAATCATAGAAAAACGTGAGAAAATTGCTTTTGTTTCAGTGTTTTCCTTATGAAATTAGTGATCTAGTGCAGTTAGTCTCACAAACACTCCATTTTCTCTTATAATAAGACCTCAGAAGGGCAAGAATAGGAAGATATGGTCAGAGTGATAATTATTTTATACCTCGGAAGTGGCCGCCACCATTCGTCACATAATGACATATTATATTCATTCTAGAGTATATATCATGTTTCTATGTTATTTATATTGTTCATTATGTCATATTAGATCAACTGCGATAGATAAAGATGCCATAGAGCTGATATTAGTGTTATATTGAAGTATTTTCTCCTGCCTCCCGAGAGCCAGGAATTCCACAGGAACGGATTAATGGCATTTCAATTAATGTCAGTGAGGAAAACTGATTTGATATATGAGCAAACTGAGTTACGAGTTCAGTCGTGGAGCGAATTAAACTCGCAAGTCAAGGTACCACTGTACGTACTGTACACAGAAATAACCTATTATTCAAACTCTTAATAACATTTTTAAAGAAAACTTACAGCTCATGATTCTGGCCTTAAAACAAGGTTAAAATTCTCAACCCTAGCAAATGTACATGCTTGTTAATTTATGTAAGGGGGAGAGAGAGAGAGAGGGGGGGGAGGGGGATCAAAACCATAAAGCATCTAATAACAATATTACCTAAAAATACCCAACAATCCATTAAAAATAAGCCTAGTAATATACAGCAGTATATTATATGATATTTAAAATTAATTTTTATAACAGAAATATAAAGGCCGATTCCTTTCCAATACTTTTTTCTATTCCATATTAAACGTACATTTAAAATTAATTTTCATAACAGTAATATAAATTTTTTCAACAGATTTTTTCTATGCCATATTAAACATAATGATAAGGCAGCAAAGAATCTGTAACATGTTCAGCATCACAAATATATACTCTGCAACTTGCTAGGTATAGTATTATACCTTGTAACTGGTATATGACAATGATACGAGACTCACATTGAGATAAGTATTACTAATTACCTTCATGAATAACAAATCCTTCAATGACATGTGTGAGCACCTGTGGCTTAACCATGGCCTTTGGTGGGCCAGTGGTGGGTGGCAGCGGAGCAACAGGGTGTGCCGTTCCATTGACTGTTGCTTGTGGAACTCTGTCATGAACTGTAAACGAACAAAAAATTAACATTCAAACACAGTACTGTACTATAAATGTCATAAGAAAATTTGCCACAAAACATATGAAATAGAGAAATGCTCATTACAATATCCTGACAGTCTTACATACATTCCTATGAGGATGTGGAATATTTAGTCTACCCTGGCCTGAGGCTGGCTGCCCTGTTGACCACCTGGTCAAGAAGCACTACTTGTGTCTTGAACAGAGGTATTCTACTGTGACTGACAACCAATAAGTCAAATTATCAATCAAATCATTAATTAACCCTTTCAGGATTTCAGACGTACTAGGACGGTTTACGCACCAGGGTTTTTGACGTACTAGTACGCCTAAATTCTAGCGCCCTCGAATCTAGTGAGAAAGGTGGTAGGCCTACATATGAAAGAATGGGTCTATGTGGTCAGTGTGTGCAGTATAAAAAAAATCCTGCAGCACACAGTGCGTAATGAGGAAAAAAAAAACTTTGTGTTTTTGGATTAAAACAGCGACTTTGCACTGTATTTTCGTATGGTATTTATTGTTGTATTCTAGTTTTCCTGGTCTCATTTTATAGAATGGAAGACATATTACAGAAATTGAGATGATTTTGACTGGTTTTATAAAGAAAACTACCTTGAAATTGAGCTCAAAGTAGCAGAAATGTTCGATTTTTACCAAAGTTCAAAAGTAAACAAATCATGCTACGCGTCCAATACACGTCAACTGGTGAGTCTAATATTCTTTCACAAGTACACTGATATTATTTATACCATTTCTACACTAATGCAGCAGTCTGCATAACAGTAAATCTTCTATTTTTTGAGAATAAAAATTCAAAGTGGAAAGCAAAGAATGTAAGAGGGGCGTGGGGACGTGACTACTGAACAGAGGAAATGTTATTTTAGTGCCAGGAATGTCTTTCTTGTTTATTCTGGACCCTATTCGAAAATTGGCATCTTTTGAAATTTGTGTGAAAATGGCAAAATTGCTAAATTCTGACCACTTTACTGGATAGTTGAAATCGGTAAATGGGTGGTTTCTTGTACTCATTTGATAGAAAAAATGGAGTTCTAGCAAAATAGCTATGATTTTTGTCGACTAGTACACTGGAATTGGCCGAAAATAGGGCTCAAAGTGGGTAAAATTGCTGATGCGTAAACATCGTTGAGACCACTAACTTCGCGAGAGGATAATTCCGTAAGTTTCCCATCAAATTTCATACTTTTGGTGTCATTATGATCAAGAAAAGATTCTCCATCTTTTCATAAGAATTTTTTTTTTTTTTTTAAATTTGGCGACCCTGAGAACAAGTCTCGGAGAGGGCCTGGCGACCCTGAAAGGGTTAAATACAATCCAAGCACCTGCCATTCCACATTTAGCCAGTCTGTCTGTACTAGTGGCCCATGGGCCCATATAACCATCACAATCTCATTGATCTAGCATTTGTAGCAGAAAGTTGTCCAGTTTCTTCCTGAAAACTTTTATCTTCATTCCAGCAATATTTGATATGTGCTGGTAATATCCAGGCAACAAAAAAGCTTGGCTCCAGGCTGGGTTGCAGGAACAGACTCGTGAAACTGGTCACAGGTATGGTAGTCTTGGACCACAGATATCAACATTGTTCTATAAGTGTACCCATCGCTCCCTTGGTCTTCACTTGGTTATTCTCCACTTTCTCACTTATCTTTCACTCCAGTAAATTTTTATATGATTACTAGTAAGATAATATTCACAAAAATGTGCCAAACCTATATACATCATAAAGCACACAAGACTGAGGGAAGTTATTAGCAAAGGGAAGTAATTTGAATGGTGAACTTAAGAGCTAAGAAAGAAAGTTGGAGAAACAGGTAAGTGAAAGTCTGCATTGAAGGTAGGACTTTCCATATGAAAAGCAGGTAAAATGAGGCTTAACATGCACTGAAAAGAGGAATGGAAATGAATTTTCCATACTTTTGAATAAATTAATTAAAAATGTTAGTTCATCAACAAGATCTAAGAGGTTTCACAGATAAGGGCTGTACATCCCTCCACTGTGACTTGTGTGACTGATACAGTCATATATGAACCACATCCCATACACCAAAATAATTACAAAGAGGTCGACCATGAACTAAACTGAGGTTTGATCAACAATAGCTTTGTGTTTTCTAACCTCAACTAATGACACTGCCATCAATCCTGAATGCTCCGTGACAAACTGGAAAATAGTCTGAAAAGGGCAGATCACTTGGACGTCACATAACAGTGAATTTACATAAAGCAACTCCACATGTAAGAGATATGTAAATATATCAACATCAAAATATTGTCACAAGTTTCTATTCTGACTAGGCTTTATCTAACATATTCACATATCTTCCACTTTCTGTAAAATAACTGCACATATAAGTGCTCTCTCATTACCAAATCACAATGCTTCAATCATTTCTAGAGGTCATTATAAAGGAAAAAAATCATGGGAAATGCCAAAAACACAATAGATATGTGGTGTGAGCTAAGGCTGCAACATATACCAGGAATGACCACATTCAAATTTCTATTCAAATATAAATCTATATTCTATTAAATTTTATACAAACAGTTCATTTCATTCCCTATTTTAAAGATTAAGGTATCCTTGTTACTAGCATGTATATGAGTTCTCACCTTAAATAATAAGCCTCATGTAGTTGATATACCTAAACTTAACCGAGAAATCAGAAAATGCATGGAAGGGCACCAAAGTTGCCACATGCTGCCATTTATTATAATTACACAACAATGCAGTTGCTACCTTCCTTAAAAATGAGAGTTTAGAATCATCCTTGCATTGTTGCTTTTTACTGGAAGGTAAATAAAACATTTCAAAGGGAAATAGAAATACAGATGTGATGCCATAAACAAAGCACACGACACTACACATACCTCCTCTGTATGAAAGCTTCAAGGCTACTGAAGTGAGAATGGGAAAGTGTGTTACCAAGCCAATAGTTGCAATTGTTTGCCATAAAAATTAATTTGGAATCATAAAATGCAAGACTTTTTAATAAAGAACATGTGTATATATATGTAAACATATATATATGTGTATATACATGAATATATTTTTGTATAATTAATAAACTGGATTAGGAAGTCAAATTTACAGTATATAACACACAAATTTAAATGATGAGCATAAGTATTTTTAATATATCAGGCAATTCCCACCAAGACATGGTGACCCAGAGAAGAAAAAAATTCACCAATGCTAATTCTTTAACTGTATTTTCAGAAGTGCACAAACATCACAATTCAAATGATTCACCAAACCTGAACATCCCTTCCCATTCCTCCAGAACAAGTCCAGTTTACCAGTTTTTCTGTATCTCTTCATAGATTTACCCTGACCACAGTCCAACAGCACATTAAATCCCCAAAACCACTTGTCTTCCCTCTGAAATACACTCGCATGCATGCTGGATGCTCAAGTCCCTACCTCTCAAGGCCTCTTCCACACCCTCCTTTCAATCTGTACTGAGGCAGCCTCTACCCCACCATTCATTCACTCCAAGAATAATTATATACCTTCTTGGTCACCCTATCTCACTCCAACTTGTCTAAGGACTGAACAATCTAAATGAACTCCCTGAGTTAGACTTTTCATTCTGTATTTAATTTCTTCACTATCTACAAAATATTCACACTATATATTTGACATAACATCTCAACTACCTCCTCCTGCCACCTTCTCCTCACTGCTACATTTAAAGACGATACCACACCCATGCAAGAGTTGAAATCACTATTCTCTGATATATTCCTATTTTTGGCACCTCCTGATAAACCTTTTTCTTTCCACAGACTCAACACTTTAATCGCCTTCTTTCCCTTGGCTATTTTATGGGTCACCTTGTTTTTCATACTCATCTGATGATGAATCCAATCTTCAATATTTAATTATATTAACTTCCTCCAAACTCCTTCCCTTCAATCTGATATTCTATCTCTCATTGCCTGAACAATTTATTACTCTCATTACCTCTTTTTCTATATTACCTTCAGTATCCCAAACTACCCCTCCATTAACCTCCACAGCCTCTTCTGAATCTTGCAAAACTACTGTCATCAGTGAAGAGCAGCTGTTACATTATCCATTTTTTTTCAGTTTCATTATTGTTAAGCCTGCTGTGACATTTTCCACTTTTACGTCATTAAAAAATTATGCCTGCACCTCTTTTAACACTAATATTTACTTCTTTTATGACTTTCTATAACATTACTAATCATGAAAAAGTAATTTCTGTGTAATGGACCTGGGGTGCCCACCTGAAATGTATCATACTCACACCAATATTCACTATTATCAACCTTTATCCAACTTATGCTTTGCTCTCTGTATTATGCCTCTTTCACCTCAGATCACTCAGTAATAATCCCTTATGAGCATCACCATCTGTGACCTGGGATGTACTCAAATCTCCAGCTACTAACCAAAACACAGCAATAGACTATAGGAAAAACCATACCCTCTCCGAGGCACTTTACATTAAAATGAGGGCCCCCAGGGGAACCAGCTGAAATTGCCCCACCAACATTGAAGATATAGATAACATAGCCATTGATTGGAGGTGGAATTTAAGGGACTAACTGCATAAATTACATCCCAGTCACAGGGAAAAAAGTAAAGCATTATCAGACAGCTGATACAACTGTCAACCAGTAAGCTAGATAGGGGATCTCTGTACCTGGTCCAAAGCAAAGTTCACACTGTTAAACAACAGGTGGCAACGATGATGGGTTACATGGCCAGAACTGTCATTGCATACACAATGAGCACATGAACTAGGAACAACAGCCAAGCTAAAATAAGTAATCACAAAGACCATACACACACACACACACACACACACACACATACAAACACACACAGTGAAGAGACAGGGCCAAGAGCTATGATTCGACCCCTGAACCACAAATAGGTACGTACACACTTGAATGGCTCACCAATGGCAGGGCTTTGGAGATAAATCTGACCTAAGTGTAATGTGTCCCCCAGCCCAGTTGCATAGGTAGATTACCTTCAAACATGTATACTGGAAGAAGCACCCTGCTACTGTAGTACTGGAAATGTCATTGATTCAGCTACAGGGTTGAATAAATTTTTCGAGATGCTTACTAAAGTTTTTATTTTGTAGATATCTTTGGTTATCAAAAAAACCAGGCCTAAGGAAGGTGGTGTATATACCATGGTGATTATGTTAAAATACTGCACATACATAGTATTTTAGATATATAATGGTTGCATAATAAATATAGGTTTATCTGCCTTCCTATGCTGTATAATATTATGTGTAAGGTGCTTTTGTTGCATTGGTACAATACACAGCTTCTACTATTGTGAGTGGCCCTCAAACTCTCATTCTACAGTATACTTTACAATATTCATTCAGGTGCACACTGTGTAATGATGAAACCTGCTGCTTGCCTATAAACATAATACTACTACTGTAAATAAAAAAAAAAAATTCACATGAAGGTGGAAAAAATTCCACAGTTTACATCCCCTTCGAAGCTTATATTCAAGAGGCCTGTAAATGAATGTGTATTTTTGTGGTTATGATGTAAAGAAGATGCCAGGCCTCAAGATCAGTCACAGTTGCCACAATCAGTTTTTAATGTTATGTTTATCATTAATGTAATTTATTTTCCTTTACTGACCTACATCCTTTAAGTGATTTGTTATTTTGTTAGTTAAATGGAGCTTTCTCAAGCTACAACGGCTTGACAAAGCTCCTGGGGAGTGGAAAGTTGCCATAATAAATGTCACAATAGTTGCATCTGTGTCCATTTACCTAACATTGTCAGCAATTCTACCATTATTATTATTTGTTAATTTGGTTGTTTGTATGTCAGTGGCATCCAATAGCTGGGAGTTTTAAAATCTTAATGTCATATAAACCATTAGGATGGTTAAGTATAATATAGTACATGTAAGGCTAATATTTAAGTCTCTTAGAGTAGCTATACTTTGAGTGAAGACCTGTGCCACTCTAGGTGTTGAGATATCTTAGGTCACACATGTTTACATTCATGGCAACACTGACTCGAACACATATGAAAAAGAGAACCTCACCAAGAACCTGGCATCAATATTCCTGTACAAGCCTATAGCCTGGAGAACTCTCTCCATAAATTTAAGCACCAGTCATACCTTTCAACAGGATAAAACAAAGCTTCAAAAAGAGGACACGCCAACAGACAGCCTGGAGGAGGAGACAGTGCATGATGGTGGGGAGGTCATCCCTCTGCTGGGATGCCTGGGGAAGATGAGACTCCTGGTTAGCACCAGGCTCCAACTAAAGAATAATGACATCTAAGAGAGATACAGAAGTGGTTAGCTGAAAGTAAAAAACTGACAATAGGCACCAACATCTATAAATTTGTGTTCATGGATGTTGCCAAAATAATAATATGAACACAAGAGAATAACAGAAAACTAAAAGAAGACTTAAAAGAAAATGACTGGAATAGCACAGGCAATACTTGCAAATATTAAAGTAGGTTCAAAAACCTAGAAAAAATGTGTCGAAAACACACCGTACCTTATATATGGGAAGCATTCTTGAGTATGCAGTGCTGGTGTAGAATTTTGTTTTAATAAAATACAAGAGAGAAATTTGAAACAGTAAAAAGCTGTGCATCAAGGCTGGTGCCACACTAAGAGAATGAGCTACGGAGAAAAAAAAAAAGGGTATAATTACTACGTACAAAATATTGTACTCTATGGGTGTGGAGAGGCTAGACAAAGACAGGTTCTTTACCAGGGATGCAACAATAACAAGAGAAAAATTGAAAACCCAAATCAACTGGTTATTAAAAAATATTGAACATAATGAATGATAAAGTGGAATAAACTTAATGAAACAGTAGGAGCAATTCCATATAGTGGTTCAAAGAAAGTTGATACAACTACAGATACATTCAGTCCAAAGTATCTTAACTACCATGTCTTCACATTCTCATTCAGTTTGGTTCAGTTTTTTTTTCTTATTTAGGGGAGGGGGGGGGGGTTTCTTTCTTTTTGGGTCACCCTGCCTCGGTGAGAAACGGTCAACGTGTCAAAACAAAAAAAATTCTACTAATCGTCCCATTATTTTCTGTATTAACTTTCAAATATTTTTTATTTATATATCTTTCCATACCACACTACTCATATCAAATGATTCCTTTTTATATATCATATCAAATGATTCCATTTTATATAAATTAATTATCTTTTAGCACTTTATTTCTCTCTTAGCACTCTAGCATTCACTTCTCTTACAAATCAGTCTGTAAACAAATGAAACACCCAATGCGATATCACACACGTGTCTAAGACTTACCTTACTAAAATTATTTCCATTTTTTCCTGTATACAGTAATGTGCCTCACTCACCTCATAAAAAAAGGGTCAAAACTTAAAATAACTTACTACTGTTTAATACATTTATAGCACTTACCACCATCACACAGCAATCCCTCAAGTTACAAGAACTCTCGATATGATATCTTTCCAATACCAGCATCTTTCTTTAGTACCTAACATCAACATATCAGTGCCTTCTTTTTTTTTGCCAACATGAGAATCACATACAAACATATTTGTGCAAACACAAGTGTTTAAATTAAGTATGCTGCACATCAGCTGATATATTGTATTTGTGTTTTATTTATGTTTTCTTGCTTCCAAATGAAAAGTTGTAATGAAAAATAGACATTTGGTTGATAAGGGTCAGGGGTCAGAACCCCTGATCTTAAACTTGCTCTCAGGGCTGGAGAATAAAAAAAAAATTATTTCTCTGGAAATGATAGAGAAGCTTTATATGATGATAATAAAACCAAAAGTACAAAATTTGATGGAAAACTTACAGAACTACACTCTCGCAAAGTTAACGGTCTCGGCGATAATTACGCATCAGTGATTTCGCTCATACAATGGAATTGGCCCTATTTTTTGCCAATTTCACTTCTCCAGTTGACCAAACTCATAGCTATTTCATTAGTATTTCTTCTATTCTAACAACCAAGTACAAGAAACCACCCATTTACCTATTTCAACTACCCAATAAAGTGATCACAAATCGGTAATTTGGCCAATTTCACACAAAATAAAAAAATTGTAAATTTAAAAATAGGGTCCAGAATAAATAATGTAGATATTCCTGGAACTAAAAAAAACATTTCTTCTGTTTATTTATTATATCCCCAGGCCTCTCTTACATTATGCCTGCACTCCATTTTTAATTTTTATTGATGCAGACTACTGCATTATTGTAACAACTGTATAAATAATTTCAGCGCATTTGTGAACATGTACTAGACTGATCAGTTGGACCTGTATTGGATGAGTGACATAATTTGTGTACTATTCTGGAATATCAGCAAAAATCTAACATTACCAATACCTTGAGCTCGATTTCAAGTTACTTTGTCCTGAAACCAATCAAAATCATCTCTATTTCTGTAATATATCTTCTATTCTATCAAATGAGACCAAGAAACCAAGAATAGAATCCTAAAAACCATATGAAAATACTGCAAGTCATTGTTTTAAACCCAAATTACGGTTCGTTTTTTTCCCAATACACATTGCTTGCCACAAGATTTTTTTTTATATGGTGTACACTTACTGCATTGACCCATTCTCTCAAATCTTGGCCCAAATGTACTGCTCACAGCTTATCTGAGTAAGCTGAGCATATCACATAGAATAACAGGACAGACCTGGGCTTCAAAGTTATAGTATGACAGAACCCACCCCAAAAGAGTTAAATACATTTCTGTGATATGAGTTTTCACACTACGAGCCAACTTGTAGGACATTAATCTCATATCTCGGGGGATTGACGTACACTTTTTCTAAATTCATTTGCACTCACCCATCCTTTCCCCTTATCTCAATCTACTCTGTTCTTCTGCAAACATATATATAAACCAAATCTGACATATATTTTTCAACCTACCCTCTCCACTCTCACTAGATGGTGCACCATTTATTGTTGGTGTTGGCAACTGGTGTATTGCAGCCTGTGTCATGTGTGTCGTGGTCCCTGAAGACTGCATTGACGTAACAGGATTAACTTTTTTGCCTGAATTGTTTTCAGTAGTCAGAGGTGTTATGGGATTTAGTTTTTTTTGAGTGGGGTTTTCCATTTTGACCTCTGTCTTGGCTTGGAGTATTGGAGGTGTTGAGGAAATTGGTGCCACTGCTGGTGCCAGAGTTGGAGGCTGCAAAGATGGTGCAACTTGAGATACTGGACATGCAACTTGTTGCTGTTGTTGTTGCTGCTGCTGCTGCTGCTGCTGCTGCTGCTGCTGCTGCTGCTGCTGTTGCTGCTGTTGCTGCTGTTGTTGTTGCTGCTGTTGTTGTTGCTGATGGTGTTGTAGTTGTTGCTGTTGCTGCTGCTGTTGATGCTGCTGAAGTTGCTGTTGATGGTGTTGCTGTTGCTGTTGTGAAGTCATGGTGGAAGTGGCAGGAGCAAGGACTGGGGCAGGTGTATTTACAGAAGACTGGGTGGTCATAGTTTGTACATGAGTTGGCGCTTGCAAAGAAACACTAGATATTAGCGTAGGTGGGGAGGGAGCCGCTGACACCTGAGGAATGGTAACACTGGACTGCTGGGTTTTGGGTGTTGGCGCTCTAACCAGCTGTGGTAAACCAGGAGGTGGCTGCCCAGCTGGAGGTAAAGGTGCTGTTGGGGGGGTCATTGGTACTCCAGTTCTGTAAGTACAATACTGTATTGTAAAACTGAACAATCTGATTTCGTTAACAAAGTTTATTACTGTAATACAAAGACTCGTATAGCAGGGTAAGCTTTTATTAGACAATCTTTCTTTCAAAGGTGAGTTTGAAGCTTGAGTTTGCTCTGGTATAAGTGTCACTTTATTACTCATCAGGATTATGCCCTCTAATCAAATTTATTACTGCTACAGAATAATTTCCTACGTAAGTTAATATAATATGCTCTATTATTTAATTTTTTTTTTTTACCTCAAGAGCTGTCTCCTGCCAAGCAGGGTGACCCAAAGAAATATGCATTCACCATCATTCACTCAATCAGTGTCTTGCCAGAAGTGTGCTGACCTAACAATTCAGATTACCATCCAACTGCAACATTCCCACCCTTCCTTCATCACAAAAATTTAGGGGCTAACTTGAATTGAAAGCCTCCTTATTGTTTGGCAAAATAAATATAATTACTTAAAAGTGAGTGGGGAAAGAATAGGGAAGAAAGTCAGATGTCTGGTCAAGGTCTGGCAGCCATGGTATTCTGACTCTTATTCCCCCAAATTAAAGCATTAATAATAGCTACAAAACTTGTTCCTAGTCAAATTTTAAATACTTACTTAGCTTGAGCCATACTAGTAATAGCTTGCATAGGGGCAGCCTGAGAAATAACTTTATTAGCAGCAGAAACAGTAACAGCAGGTGAAGATGACATGGGTGCTGGCGAGACTGCCGTCTGCTGCATAACTTGAGTGCTGGCATTAGCAGCAACAACTGTAGTAGCCATGGTATTAGCATTAACCACAGTAGTGTGAGACACTTGAGTATTGGTCATCTGGGCAGCATTGCTCATAGCTGGAGATGATCGGTTGGTGCCACTCTTGCCACGTACTTTATTCTGAAGACAAGGTTATATTTTAATCGTTCATACTCTACATATTTTCTATCAATCTACTTTTAACAAAGAGAAAATATAAAAAAAAGTAATTCCAAGAAAATAACTTTACAAATACACATGTTAAATACAAAATATATCCCATTATCCCTCCTCCTTTCATCAAAACAAATCACTCTAAACAAAAAATTCATTACAAATATTTTTAAAGATCAGCCAGGCACTCTTCATTCACTGAAACATATGCTTTTTATTTTCTGCTCGTTCATTTACATTCCATAGACCACAATGACCTTTCTTCCAAGTTCAGTGATTTAATGAAGTGACTGAATTATTTATGAACTCTTCAAAGCTGATTCAATACAACTACTTTAAAATGTAAAAAAATTGACAAGATACACTTGTTTTACCTGTGCTCTGGGTGCTGTCATAGGTCCAGGGGCAAGCTGCTGTCCAGCTGTTTGAGTAGAAACTGAAGAACCTGGACGAATTTGTGCAGGATTCGAGGGCAGGATAGGCGGACGCATATTGGGTGCCTTGGGCTGGATGTTGGCAGGCATTTCCATTCCAGCTCGTTGCTTGGGGGTTTGCGTGCCATGCTGCATGGATCCCAAGGGTGGCATCATAGCTTAAACAATATAAGGTCATTTAGTACTGTAATTATGCACATCTTGAAAAATGAAGAATACACTTTTCATTACATACAGTATTGACAAACCTGAAAAAATTAAAAAATAAAATATTAATAATTTTTAATTTTTTGCTGCATTAAGAAGTGATGATGTATGCAAGGAATGAAGTGTCTTTCAACAATTATATACAAGAGTAAACAGGAGTTAAAAAACAAAGGAATAGATAGTATATGCAAAGAACAATACTGCCAAGTGAAATAATTAGCATGAGCAGCAATCCAGAGTATGTAAACTTTACTGTCACTGGGGAGTTCTTGAACACAAGTAGAAGTTTGTTACTTTGCTTTGCCATCCCAGTAGAACACTGTAAACTACTGTAAAACATATTTTATTTTAGCATCCTAGTAGGAACACTGTAAACGACTGTAAAAGATACTTTATTTTGGCTTCCTAATATGAACACCGTAAATCTGAACTGTCGTATCTGGAGGCCTTCGTAAAGACAATGATTGTGTGTGAATTATGATGAGAGTGTTTCTTTCTTTTTTGGGTCACCCTGCCTCAGTTGGAGATGGCCAATGTGTTAAAAAAAGAAAAAAGACTAAGAGATGAATCCTCTTTAATTATTTTTGAGACATCCAGTTGGAAGGACAACAACTAAAAATTGCAGAAATTGACCCAAGTGAGAAATTTTACTTAAGGTGATTTGGGAGTTAAGAGAGGATAAAGCAGATTTGAATAACCAAGAGGGTATACATGGAGAGGGTTTTGGGGATCAACGCCCCTGTGGCCCAGTCTGTGACTAGGCCTCATGGTGGATCAGGGCCTGATCAACCAGGCTGTGACAGCCCGGCTGGTCAGGTACTGACTTTAGGTGCTTGTCCAGTGCCTTCTTGAAGACAACTAGGGGTCTATTGGTAATCCCCCTTATGTATGATAGGAAGCAGTTGAACAGTCCTGGGACCCTCACACTTACTGTGTTGTCTCTTATCGTGCTAGTGGTGCCCCTGCTTTTCACTGGGGGAATGTTGCATCATCTGCCGAGTCTCTTGCTTTCATACGGGGTGATTTTCGTGTGCAAGTTTGGTACTAATCCCTCTAGGATTTTCCAAGTGTATATAATCATGTATCTCTCCTGCCTGTATTCTAGGGAGTACAGGTTGAGGAACTTCAAGCGTTCCCAATAACTGAGGTGTTTTATCGCAGTTATATATCCCGTGGAGGTTCTCTGTACATTTTCTAGGTCAGCAATTTCACCTGCCTTGGGTGTGTAAACCTAAGACAGAAGAAGGAAATGGTTGGGGTTCATCCCAGAAGGTTTGAAGGATGTTTTACATGGTAGGGGCTTGAGCATCCAGCAGCAGTGTGTGTGAAGAGTGTTAGGTCACAGAGGTAGGAAGTACAATGCCTGAATTCTGAAGGAAGAGTGAAGATAATACAGTTCAGCGAGTCATTTGAATTGTAATGTCTGCACATATAGCAAGACAGTTATTGAATGAATGATAGCAAAGGTTTCCTTTTTATTTTTTTTTGTTTGAGGAGGAGGAAGGGTTAATCCTACCTTGGTGGGAGACAGTCGGTCAGGTTAAAAAAAAAAAAAAATCACCTGGAAAGGAATCATGTGCATCAAGTTAGAGACTAAACATTCACTTATTAATGAACATTATCCAGAGTTGAAGATAACCTCTCTTGCACTCCCCACACCTCATGTCTGAAAACAATTTCTTTCTTAAGTCGCCACTACAGTCACACTGCTTAGCAAAAGTAATGTGCATTACATTAGATCAATAAGGTTGAAATAATTATAAGTATTCCCAGGTTATCATCCATAAATAAGGAGCACAAAGGCATTAAATAAAAACTTTGTAAAGACTCTCGAATGACTTCAAGATTGCATAAATCTGTAGTGGAGGGAAGGCGGGGCAGGGGTCAGACTAAGAAAGGTTGAGGGAGGGGCTGGACTTCCATGCATGAGTGTGTTAGATAGGAGCAAATAGAGACAAATGGATTTTATGACTTGACATGCTGTTGGAGTGTGAACATGGTAATATTTATGAAGGTATTCAGGGAAACCGGTTATTTTCATATAGTCGGACTTGAGTCCTGGAAATAGGAAGTACAATGCCTGCACTTTAAAGGAGGGGTTTGGGATATTGGCAGTTTGGAGGGATATGTTGTGTATCTTTATATGAGTATGCTTCTAGACTGTTGTATTCTGAGCACCTCTGCAAAAACAGTGATAATGTGCGAGTGTGGTGAAAGTGTTGAATGATGATGAAAGTATTTTCTTTTTGGGGATTTTCTTTCTTTTTTTGGGTCACCCTGCCTCGGTGGGAGACGGCCGACTTGTTGAAAAAAAAAAAAAAAAAATTCAGGGAAACCGGCAGGCCGGACTTGAGTCCTGGAGATAGGAAGTACACTGACTGCACTATGAAGAGGGGTGTTAATGTTGCAGTTTTATCGCACCTCTGCCAAGACAATGATGGAGTGAATGATGATGAAAGTTTTTCTTTTCCGGGCCACCCTACCTTGGTGAGAGACAGCCAATGTGTTAATAAACAAAATGTATATGCCTTTGCAAACGTTATTTAATAATAATTTTAACATTAGGGCAATAAAGGAAGGTTAACTGAGAAAAAAAAAGGAGTACAGGAAGGATACTAGAAAGTTTTCCATCACAACTACAGTGGAAGAATACTGAACTGAGATCAAGGAGGAAACAACACAAATAAGTGTTGAATTAAACAGTGTTAACTATGGAACACAAGCATGCCTCTGTCCATTTAACTACAAATAAGGTAAAGAAAAAAGTAATCACATGACTCACTGCTGCAAACATAAAATGATGAGAAACGGTGGGAAACAGCCAATGTGTTAAAAAAAAATGTATGCAAACTTTGATGCTGCACAATAGTAATTACAAAACATCACTTACATACACCTATGCAAAAGTTAATTATTATTAGAAATTTAAGAAATGCTCAATAAGGTATAGAGAAAACAGTTATAAAATATAGGCTACAAAGGGTTTTCCCCTCAGTAGAAAAGACACATTTGTACAAGAATTAAAAATTACAGTTTTAGATGCCACAAACAGATGGAAAGAAGAGAAAGTAGGTACAGGAGAGGTAATGTGAAGAAGTGACAAGGGAAGAGAGAAAGAAAAATAAAAGAAAAGGAGAACCAAAAGAGGAGTGAAATGTGGAAAAGGAAAAACAGTAAACAGGAAAAGTGAATAAAAATAATAAAAAAAAAAAAAAAAAAAATAAAGAACATTCCTGAAAAATAGGATGTCCATCCACATAATACAATAACTGTCATCCTGTTTCTAGTTAAGATACAAAAGGTAGTGAACTCACAATTTGGAGCATGCATGGTTTGTGGCTGAGGGTTTGAAATAAAAACATTCTCTTGTCCAGGCTGAGCATTTCGGATGAATATTGGTTGATTCTGTGCAGCAAGAAGAGCAGGAGAGTGGAGGGTCCCAGGGGTGGCCCACGTAATGCCTTGCTGCAGAGAAATGTATAAACTCTCGTTAAAATGAGTCTTGTAGATGAATGGTTTAGAGAACCGACATGTTGATAAATTAGATACATGTGCAACATGTGTCTAATTTATCAACGTGTCGGTTCTCTAAATCATTCATCTACAATCCTGTCAGACACTGCAACTTCTTGGGATCTTAATACTTGGGAATTCTTCACTTACCTAACCCTTGGGCACGACCTACTTCCACATTGAACAAATGTAACACCACCTACGACTGCTGCACCTCTCCTGCCTACGGTTTATAAGCTCCTTCTCCGCACATATGCTGTATTCTATTCAAGATTGATGGACTGACCACATTGGCTCAAGGTTGAGGGACCGATTACCTCATTCTCCTCCTGTTCTTCAAGATTCTCCTTTGTATGGACTGATGAAGCCACTGTGTGGCAAAACGTTTCCTCAATAAAGATACCCAAGAGTTGCACATGTGTCTAATTTATCAAAATGAGTCTTCACTGGTGTACATAATTTTTAAAAAAGCAGTACAGCAATTCCATTTGTTTACAAAACTAAATTCATTTTGAATTATATCTTAGACTAAATTTTCTTTATTTATAATAATTAATAATCTTACAAAACCCTTGTTAAATACTGTATTTATATATACTTAACATATATTGTTTTCTAAAATAAACTAAATTCACTATTACACAGAAGAATAATTTTCACTAGGAAAATATAACACATGTAGCACACCAAGCCTTTTTATTAGATGACATATTATCCCAGGCTGAGGGACTGACCACCTCAAATACTTCTTCTCCAAGGTTGATGGACTGATTACATCATCTTTATTTCCTTACTACTGCTCCCTTTGTATTTGACTGAAGAAGCAAACCATGTAGGTGAAACATTTCATCAATAAAGATACCCAACTGTTACACGTGTCTTAATCTTCAACTTGTCAGTATTTTATACCATTTTGTAGTTAATACTACAATTTGTTCATGTTCCCATACTATGATTACTTTTACAGGACCTGCCCAGCAAGGGCCAGCAAATTTACTGCAGCACTACTCTGTTGTTATGTTAATTTACTAGATCCATCAAGCATGGACCAATATACCTACTGAACTGGTTTTCTATTACTGTATGTTCAATACAAGTGTGAGAAGAGGTGGATTTGAGGAGGACCTGCTTACTTGCATGGACCAACAGGCCAACTACAATGCTTAATTCTTAGGTTCTTATAAGTGAGAAAGATTGGATTTGAGAAAGATCTGTCTAGGATGGGTCAGTAGGCCTGCTACAGTGCTCATCCATTATGGTCTAGTACAGCAGGCAATAGCATCTGAAAAAGGCAACGAAAGGCACTAAATGTGGCCAAGTGTGCTCACTTGCTCGCTATATCTCTGGTTCTGCCTCATGTGTTTTACATTCCTAGTTTGTTAGCTACTGTCATTCACTACAATAAATATCAAGCAATAAAAAGATTCCTAAGCAAACTAACCTTTTGCATGTCTGTGGGCTTGTGTGTAGTTGAATGGGCAGGAAGAATGTTGTGCTGCGGGCTGCTGATGACTCCCATGGGCAGCTGACCAATCACCAAAGTCTGACTACCTGTGGTTGGGATGGCCGCAGGAGAGTAACCTATTGGGACAATATTTATAATGTTCATTGAGAAATCTTCAAAATTTACCAACTAGATTACCATGTGTGCTTGATGACAAGCTCTACAAGACACTCGAGAAATACTACGACCCAATTATGTGCTAGGGAAGTACATGACCTATGAATTATTGACCCTGCTGCACAACCAATGGAGCTAATTACCTTGACCTCCTGCTTGCAGCACTCCAGCTTTCCCTGTTGTAGTTGTCAACATGTGTGGAGCAATCTGCCCCTGGAATGGCTTCCCTGCAGCAATGACCTGTAAAATATTTTGGCTTACTCACAATCCAATTTACAAATATAATACAAAATATATTAATAGTAATGTACAATTTATCTGTAAGTGTTGCTGTATTTACACATTCACGATGTTCCAATTACTTATTTTCTACTACTTTGTCATCTGATCATTTTTACATAAACATTATTAAAAGTCAGAGACTGACTGACTTATTACATGGACGTTTACTGGAATTTTACCCTTGGAATAAGTCACAGTATGACTAGGTTCAGAATGAGGCTGTAAGGACCAAAGGCAATGTATGGAAAAATAGATTAAAATCCTGTTCATTATGAACTACGCAGCCAATCTGATGAGACTGAAGCAGTGGGCAAAGTCTACAAATGTACAATCACAAGATATAATAATAACGACACTGTGGATGAAAGAACACATCTTTATATGTTTCGGTTTCCTCCATTTTGGAGACACCAAGATCCCAGGAACAAAATATATCCAATAAAAATGTCATATACCTGTGTCCTTTTATCCACACACAGCACCACCAGCACATCCTGAGCTGCACCAAGAGGTGCACATTCACTTTCATGCAGGTAAATGAAGGATGAGGTTAATCATAGAATTGATAAAGGAAAAAAGGCGAGTGGTTCATTGAGGTATATGTGGAGGCAAAAAATGTTATCTATGGAGGCAAAGAAGGGAATGTATGAAAGTATAGTAGTACCAACACTCTTATATGAGTGTGAAGCTTGGGTTGTAAATGCTGCAGCAAGGAGGCAGTTGGAGGCAGTGGAGATGTCCTGTCTAATAGCAATTTGTGGTGTAAATATTATGCAGAAAATTCGGCGTGTGGAAATTAGGAGAAGGTGTGGAGTTAATAAAAGTATTAGTCAGAGGGCTGAAGAGGGGTTGTTGAGGTGGTTTGGTCATTTAGAGAGAATGGATCAAAGTAGAATGACATGGAGAGCGTTTAAATCTGTAGGAGAAGGAAGGCGGGGTAGGGGTCGTCCTCGAAAAGGTTGGAAGGAAGGGGTAAGGGAGGTTTTGTGGGCGAGGGGCTTGGACTTCCAGCAGGCGTGCATGAGCGCGTTCGATAGGAGTGAATGGGGACGAATGGTATTTGGGACCTGACGATCTGTTGCGTTCGATAGGAGTGAATGGAGACGAATGGTATTTGGGACCTGACGATCTGTTGGAGTGTGAGCAGGGTAATATTTAGTGAAGAGATTCAGGGAAACCGGTTATTTTTATATAGCCGGACTTGAGTCCTGTAAATGTGAAGTACAATGCCTGCACTCTAAAGGAGGGGTTCGGGATATTAGCAGTTTGGAGGGATATGTTGTGTATCTTTATACGTATATGTTTCTAAACTGTTGTGTTCTGAGCACCTCTGCGAAAACAGTGATTATGTGTGAGTGAGGTAACAATGTTGAATGATGATGAAAGTATTTTCTTTTTGGGTCACCCTGCCTCGGTGGGAGACGGCCAACTTGTTGAAAAAAAAAAAATGCCTATGGTCAGTTTCAAGGGTTCTTCTATCCTTACAACTCTTTCTGAGATCAGATTACCATGCTGATTGCTAGTTTAACCAGGATGTTCGTGTTAGCAGCCTGCTGGCCCAAATATCCACTAGAAGAGCAAACTTGCCCAAGGGACAAATAATAAATCAAATACTGTATTCTACTTGGCATATATGAATTTTATCACTGTTTAATTTTTCTGAATAAGAGAGAATGTGTTCAGAAATTCGGAATAAAGGATGATCTCTTAACATTTTTTTTTATTAACTAACTGCATAATTTAAGAATCTTTATCCAGATAACTCCAGTTTGGAATTATGATGTCCAAATATAAATCCAAAAATTAAAATATTTATGGTAAAAAAGCAAAATTTTTTATAATTATGTCTTCCAGGATACTTAAGAAGAAAGACTGCTTAATTAACAACAGAATTATGGACTGCAGCATTTAAAGTAATACTTTAAATGCTGCAATCCATCAAGTAAGAGGTGAGGGATGACACTACATAACAGAGTGGATAATAAAACTTGTAAAGGAAAGTGTCAAATATCAGGGATAAGACAATGAGATTTTCCCTTCAGAACAAAGCTGTCTCAAAATTGGGATATGTAACATTATTTAGCAAAGATGAAAAAATAAATTGCAAAAAAAATGAAATACATGCTCTCACAATAAACAAATAAAATTTATACTGAGTATGAGTGAAGGGGAAACATTATTCATGTTGTAAGATAAAGACAACTTCACAGAACCTCCCACTGAGCTCTCGACAAAATTTCAACTAGACACAATCTCACCTGAAGTGGCTGATTAAGTCCATTCAGAGTGCTTGGTTGAATAGATGTTGTGTTCATGCCTGTAGCAGTCTGAAGGGTGAGATTGCTAGGCATGATCAGCTGACCCTGAGCATTTTGGTACAGTTGTTGAACATATGGGGTACCGGGTATTCCACTCTGAATAACTTGTAACTGCGGAGAAAACTAAAACAAAGGCAAATTTAATAATGTGTTCAGCACTAAACTTCCTAATGCAAAACAAAATTACAATGTTCCAAAAAAATTTTTTTTTTTGAGTCTCTTTAGCTTTAACATATTTCTTCATTACTTGCACAATGCACACAATATTTCAAATTTAAACTCCATACCATAAGCTGGTGCACTTTTCTGACAAATATACAGTTTACAACCTATACTGCCAGAATGTTAATAAACATTCTATTTTGTGGTATCAATGACAGGATTTTTGTTTTTTGACTATTCAGATATAACTTTGGCACACAAGAGCCCAGATGCTTGTCCAACACAAACGGCATCACTTGGAACTTTCATCTGAACCCCTATCATTTATGCCTAAATATATATCATGCCCTATTCTCCATGAACCAGGATGTTGCTGTTGGCAGCTCACTGACTTACATATCCATCATAACCTGATTGATCTGCCTCTCCAGGGATATAATGATCCAGCTTCCTCACTTGCTCCACCAGTATTTTCCATGTGTATATTATAAGGGATCTCTCACCTCTCCAATGAGCACAAATCCAGTTCTTTGAGGAATTCCCAGAAGTTTAAATGCTTTATTGGTTTTACGTGGACAGTGTAAAGGAATGAAGGGCAAAAAAATTGTATCTACTTAACACACAAAATAAAAGTAATACCTGTGGCATAGGAGATGGAGAAACGCCAGGATGAGTAAGTGGTTGTGGAGCCAGATGGTGCTGCAGGGGCTGGTGGAGCGCTGATACTGTACTTGTACTTGTCTGTGGTCCTGGTGCTGGGGCAATAGCTGGAGGTGCAGGTTGCATCCCAGATGGTATGGAGGCCTGCACATAGAACTGAGGACAAAATAAATCAAGAATATTAAGCTGCATGCTTGACCACTCTAAACATATTTTAGGGAATAAAGTAGAGCATCTGTAATCAGAAATACTTGGGACCCAAAGAAGATTCCAGGGATCACCGTCCTCCAACCCCCACACCAGGACTTCAGGCTGATCAATCATGCTGTTGGCACTAGTGAGAGGCAGTCCAAAGTATACACTACAGCCCACCTGATCAGGCACTAACTTGCAAAACTTATCCAAAGCAATGTTTGGAATTCTGATCATTCAGTACAAATACAGTGTATATAAGAACATCTGATAATTTATAAGTTAACAAAGAAAAAAAAACACTGATTATAAGACAAACAAAAGTATTAAACTGTTGCTTTAACAAAAAACTGTCTCCACTTTCATAGAAGATTTAGTTGTTTGAATTATAAGTGATATGTGGGGACGTAGAAGATAGTTGGTAGACAGCAACCTCCCAAGGATATACTTCCTTTATACTCTCCTGTCATACAATTGTGAAAGTGAAAGCTGATAAAGGTTTTGTACTCTGGTCAGACTACTAGTCTTTTCTCTTTGTCTCATGAACACATACAGTGCTAGTCACGGCATTATGCCAGGTGAGCGCCCCGGCATAATGCCGTGACGAAAATTGAAGGCCTACCATACAGGGTAGCAGCCATTAGCATGACGTCATGGCCTGCTGCCACACTCCAGTGACTCTTCAGTGCTCACATGGCTGCCGTGGTTAGAGAAAGTGTTGCACTTTTGTCCCTCATCCGCCCCATCTTTTGTCTGGTGTTCCCTTTGCCTTCGGGGCTATACATGTTTGATTATGGGCAAAAGGAAGCCTTTAACACCTGAAACTATAGCTCAAATCATGGGGCTTCACAAAATTGGGCACCGGACAATAGAAACAGTGGAGAATGTTGGTATGTGTGAGCGTTCAGTGAGGAATTGGGTGCAGCGTTTCAAGGCTGGTGGCAGTGTTGAGTTACAGTCTGCCAAACCTCAGCCTGGCCCCTCGAAGAAGACATCTGTTCGTACCTTAACTGTGTTAAAGAAGCAGAGAGTACACCTAAGACAACTGTTAGAGAATTGAAAGAAAAAACCCACATCTTCTCTCAGAGGTGTCTGTAAGAACTATTAACAGACGTGTGTCAGAAACGGGGCTACAGTGTCTCCCCCCAGGTTAAAAAACCCAACCCTCTCCAAGCCACAGAAGAAAGTGGGTTGGATTATAAAAAAGAATATCTTCACGGGAATCCTCACAGTGGTATGATATTTAGAGTGATAAAGCAACTTTCCCCATCACCGTAACCAGGGGGGGACATTTGTACCTGCCCGGGGGGTAGTGACCTGCTACCCCACTACCCCGTGGTACCACCAAAAAAACCCAGACTTGCTCATGGTTTGGGGGTTTCAGTGTCACAGTATTGGGGAATTCATTTTTTTCCCAAAAAATAGTGTATGAACCGTATAAATTTCCCCGGAGTTATTTTGTGAAAAATTTCCCAGGCATTTGACAAAAGTGGGGCTACAGTTTTTATGCAGGACGTTACCCTGTCATCCACCAAAACTGATCCAGGGGCTTAAAGACTGTGAAATGGGTTCTTTGATGATGGCCAGGCAATTCCCCCGACCTAAACCCTACTGAGGAACCTCTGGGGGGGCAAAAGGAAACAAAGTTTTCTGGGCAAGGAATCAGTTCCCCCATGGTTGGAGGCTGTCAAGAGGGTGGGAAAAATATAAAACCCCCCCCAAACTCTCAAGAATTTGTGTGAGTCTTCACAGGCTGAGGGGTGTGATTTAAGCGTAAAGGACGCAGCACCAGTATTAAAACCTCAGTAAGTGTGCAAAAATTTTATATTTTAATCTTTTATGGGATTTTTGTGTTTTGGTACGTGTGTGGGGAGGGGGGGCATAATGCCTACTGCACTGTCTGTAAGAGACAGGGAAAACTTTCAAATTCCTACTTGCATTTACTGCAGTACAGTATAAACATCAAGTATATTCATATGTATACTTGCATGTAAATGTATATACTGTATTCACTTAATAGTTGCAATGCTCTATATTTATTGAGTTCTTATCCCTATAGTTTTTTCTACCCAATTACATTGAGAAGCAGATTAAAATCCTTTCTCAGATAAGCCATGTGTTGTAGGTGACAAAGATACTGAAAGCAAGGAGCTGGAAACTCCTTTTTCTTAATGAATTACTGAAAAAACAGAAAAAGGAAAACTTAAAAATAGGTTGAGTGAGAACAAGAGAGCAAGAGTGAGAGAGAGAGTGTGTGTATATGTGTGTGTGTGTATATGTGCATGTGTATATGTGTGCATGTGTATATGTGTGTGTGTGTATGTGTGTGTGTGTGTGTGTGTGTGTGTGTGTGTGTGTGTGTGTGTGTGTGTGTGTGTGTGTGTGTGTGTATGTGTGTATGTGTGTGTGTATGTGTGTGTGTATATGTGTGTGAACTCACCTAGTTGTGGTTGCAGGGGTCAATTCATAGCTCCTGGCTCTGCCTCTTCACTGGTCGCTACTGGGTCACTCTCCCTGAACCATGAGCTTTATCATACCTCTGCTTAAAGCTATGAATGGATCCTGCCTCCACTACATCACTTCCCAAACTATTCCACTTCCTGACTACTCTGTGACTGAAGAAATACTTCCTGACATCCCTGTGACTCGTCTGTGTCTTCAACTTTCAACTGTGTCCCCTTGTTGCTGTGTCCCATCTCTGGAACATTCTGTCTCTGTCTACCTTGTCAATTCCTCTCAGTATTTTATATGTCGTTATCATGTCCCCCATCTCTCCTGTCCTCCAGTGTCGTCAGGTCGATTTCCCTTAACCTCTCCTCATAGGACATATCCCTTAGCTCTGGGACTAGTCTTGTTGCAAACCTTTGCACTTTCTCTAGTTTCTTTTCGTGCTTGACTAGATGTGGGTTCCAAACTGGTGCCGCATACTCCAATATAGGACTAACATATGCAGTGTACAGGGTCCTGAACGATTCCTTATTAAGATGTCGGAATGCTGTTCTTAGGTTTGCTAGGCGCCCATATGCTGCAGCAGTTATTTGGTTGATGTGTGCCTCAGGAGATGTGCCTGGTGTTATACTCACCCCAAGATCTTTTTCCTTGAGTGAGGTTTGTAGTCTCGACCCCCTAGACTGTACTCCGTCTGCGGTCTTCTTTGCCCTTCCTCAATATTCATGGCTTTGCACTTGGTGGGGTTGAACTCCAGGAGCCAATTGCTGGACCAGGCCTGCAGCCTGTCCAGATCCCTATGTAGTTCTGCCTGGTCCTTGTCCGATTGAGTCTTTCTCATCAACTTCACATCATCTGCAAACAGGGACACTTCGGAGTCTATTCCTTCCATCATGTCGTTCACAAATACCAGAAACAGAACTGGTCCTAGGACTGACCCCTGTAGAATCCCACTCGTCACATGCACCCTCTCTGACACCTCACCATGTATCATGACTCGCTGCTGTCTTCCTAACAGGTATTCCCTGATCCATTGTAGTGCCTTCCCTGTTATCCCTGCTTGATCCTCCAGTTTTTGCACTAATCTCTTGTGTGGAACTGTGTCAAATGCCTTCTTACAGTCCAAGAAAATGCAATCTACCCACCCCTCTCTCTCTCTTACCTTACTGCTGTCACCCTGTCATAGAACTCCAGTAGGTTTGTGACACAGGATTTCCCCTCCCTGAAATCGTGTTAGTTGTTGTTGATAAGTTCATTTCTTTTTTAGGTGTTCCAACACTTTTCTGATAATCTTCCCCATGACTTTACATACTATACACATCAGAGGCACTGGTCTATAGTTTAGTGCTTCTTGTATGTCTCCTTTTTTAAAAATTGGGACCAGATTTGCTGTCTTCCATACCTCAGGTAATTTCCCTGTTTCGATAGATGTGCTGAATATTGTTGTTAGGGGTACACATAGTGCCTCTGCACCCTCTCAGGACCCGTGGAGAGACGTTATCCGGCCCCTAGCGTGCGTGTGTGTACTCACCTAATTGGCCCCGCCTCTTCACCGACCGCTACTAGGTCCTCTCTCTCCCCCTGCTCCATGAGCTTTATCATACCTCGTCTTATAACTATATATAGTTCCTGCCTCCACTACATCGCTTGCCAGACTATTCCACTTCCTAACTACTCTATGACTGAAGAAATACTTCCTAACATCCCTTTGACTCATCTGAGTCTTCAGCTTCCAATTGTGACCCCTTGTTTCTGTGTCCCATCTCTGGAACATCCTGTCTCTGTCCACCTTGCCTATTCCACGCAGTATTTTGTATGTCGTTATCATGTCTCCCCTGACCCTCCTGTCCTCCAGTGTTGTCAGACCGATTTCCCTTAACCTTTCTTCATAGGACATTCCCCTTAGTTCTGGAGCTAGCCTTGTTGCAAACCTTTGCACTTTCTCTAATTTCTTGACGTGTTTGACCAGATATGGGTTCCAAACTGATGCTGCGTACTCCAGTATGGGCCTGACGTACACAGTGTATAAAGTCTTGAACGATTCCTTACTGAGGTACCCGAACGCTATTCTCAGGTTTGCCAAGCGCCCATATGCCGCAGCAGTTATCTGGTTAATGTGTGCTTCTGGTGATGTACTCGGTATTATACTCACTCCTAGGTCTTTCTCCTTGGGTGAGGTTTGCAGTCTTTGGCCTCCTAGCCTATACTCTGTCTGCAGTCTCCTTTTTGCCTTCTCAGATCTTCATGACTTTGCATTTGGTGGGGTTAAATTCTAGGAGCCAGTTTCTGGACCACACATCCAGCCTGTCCAGGTCACTTTGTAGACCTGTCTGGTCCGTGTCTGATTTAATTCTCCTCGTTAACTTCACGTCATCTGCAAACAAGGACACTTCTGAGTCTATCCCTTCCGTCATGTCGTTCACACGTACGTATGTGTGTGTGTGGTGTGTGTGTGTGTGTGTGTGTGTGCGCGCGCGGGCTTTCGTGACTACTCACATTATCAAGGAACTATGAAA